ATAGAGGTTTGTTTTGATGCCGATGAATAAATTCGCCATTATAACTGATTTGTAATGGGATTTGTGGAATGGTTGCGTCAGAAGGTTACAGCTTCATGTTTGTTTGACACTGTTACGTTATTTTGGTTATGAAGTTGGATACAAGTAGAGCAACTGATAATTTGAAATTTAATTTGAATACCAAAGCTGAAGTTCGATTAAATATGCCAACTTTTGTTCATAAAATTAACTTAATATTCTTCCAATATTTGAAAAAAGACAATTCACTTCACTATAAAAAAGAAAACAATATTAGCCATCACGTTGCCATCAACAAATAGTGTCAACAGGGTTATTTCACATGGTATGGCAATGAAAACGATGACAGTAATCCAAAACTATTTCGCGTGCATACCCTTATTGACTAAGGGCACAGAGTCAAGTATAATGTGCATATTTATGTGAAATATTTGGAACATGAATCACATAGGACCGTATCTGGTAGTACTCCCAGTACTGGTAGCACTGGTAATGATAACGCCTGTCATTACACTCCCCGCTAACGATGCTCTCGATTAAGATTTAATTGCTCGCTACTTTAACAAGAGCGCGTACAGTTGGTGTGATGATTGCGACATGAATGACATGATTTTTGGAGGGAGTTTTGTGGACTTATTTTTTTACACGTTTTTTTTATACAGGGTTGTTAATTTTAATAGGAAATTCAAAATATGTAGCCATATATACCTCTAATGAGTTGTTGGGAGTAATTCTAGATTTAACCAGTTTAGTTTATAGTAAACCAAATATTAAATAAACTAATTTAATATGGACCATAAGCTGATGGCAATGACAATAACAATGACGATAAAATTTACAGTTGTTCTCAGTATATGACAATAGTAATATATAACAGAAATCGCTTTGTGCGATAAGACCGCCAATTGTACACTATTTTTATTTATTTATTGCGACTGCCGGGCAAAGGGTCTCAGGTTCGATTCCCTGGTCGGGCAAAGTACTACTGGGTTTTTAAAAAAATCTCAGTAGTAGCACGGAGTCTGGCCATGTGCCCGGTACATGGCAATAGACTCACCCCCTATTACATGGAACTCATAACATGAATTAGTGAAAAGTGGGTGTTACATTATACAGTGGCATTAAGTCCCGTAATGTGCACCTCTGCCTACCCCTTCGGGGATAAAAGGCGTGATGTTATGTTATGTAAAAAATAACGTCATTTTAATGGACAAAGTTATGTATTAAATGCCAATAATAAAGTTCATTATCCAATATTCCGTTTGATTTCAAAATTCTGCAACATATCTCCTGAAATTCATGGATGAACAATTTCATAATTTTCAGTTAGGATAGTTCTCTGGTACCTAAGTCTCTTACTAGTTACTAACTTTAGGAATTCGATTTAGGAAACATACTGATAGGGATTTAACGAAACTTCATAATGTTATTGAAATATAATTTAAAAAAAGATATATTCACTGCCTCGTTGGTCGAGTGGTTGCCAGTGTGACTGTCACGCAAGGGGTCTCAGGTTTAATTTCTGAATCAGGCAAAGTATTACTGGGTTTAAAAAAAAACACGGAGTCAAGAATTGTGCCCGGTATATGGCAAAAGGATCACCCCATATTACATGGGACTCATAACATAAATAGTGATAAGTGGGTGTTACATTGTATAGTGACATTAACCGTCATAATGTTCACTGCTGCTTACCCATTCGAGGATAAAAGGCATGATGTTATGTTATGTATTCAGACGAAGCCAAAAAGTGCTTATTTCAAAAGAGATATGAGTTTTATTTTAAGTCCTTTTTAACATTTTTATTTCGCAATAATATCCCCAAAATAAATGAACTGTTCAATAGTTTCCGTCGTTACACTGTCCAAAATACATTGAAGATGCCTTCATTCCAAGCTGTAATATAAAGTAGTAAAGTTCAAAATACCTTAAAGCAATTTGTACTAATGCCAAAGTGGCCACAGCACTAACATAATAGGCTGTAGATCGGTCAAACGAGTATAATGCCGTATGTACTGGAACAGGGGTGAGGTAGGAGCGGCGAACATTATTACCTATTAGTGATTGGTTTTATATATAAGCTTATAGCGGATGAGCAATAGAGAAAAATATATTCGTTTAATTCCTAATATAAGTAGCCAGCAACGACCTCGTAATATATGTAGTATTTTTCTTAAACGTTGCGTATCTTTTCTCCTACATCGTGGACGCGTTTACAAGCATACAACTTTACATACACATTTTTTTATGGAATAAGCCGAGAAACGAGCAGATTAATCACCTGATAGTAAGCAATCGGCGTCGCTCATGGACACCTGGAACACAACGCAAGCGTTTTTTACGTCCGTTTTCTGTGAGGTCGAGTATCACTCCGGTCAAGCCGGCCCATTCGTGCCGAAGAATCGCCCACACTTAAAATTACACAATAAAAAGAACAATTTATCCAATATGTTCATGGATGGTGCTGATCATGTTTATACTGGATGACTAATGGCAAAAATGGTACTCTTTCTTCGAATTTCCTTTAAGGTTTAGGTATTACTGGCACATAACAGTATTGTAATACGTTTATTTCACTATAATTTTTATCCTGGGTCGGAGTCGACATGTATGTGACCTTCTTTTCGAGGTTCTCGCTTTCATAATCATCATATCAGCCATAAGGCGTCCACTGCTGAACATAGCCAGTGACTTCTAGATCAACCGGTTCGAAGCGACCTGGATCAAGCGGTTTTCTTACTTTAAGAAGGGTATAATTATGTAAGCCTATAACTTTGACCAACCACATTAGCCGCTCGCTCCAATTTGTGTTAGGGCTTATTAATGTGTGGAGACAAGCGAAAAACTCCCCGTCAGCTGTACACCGCCACTATTTACTGGAACGTCGCCGTTTCTCATCTTCACCAGCTTAATATCGTCGCTTTTGTTCTTCTAAAATATTTATAGCGAGCGATTTTTGGTACAACTTTTCTTCAAGGAAAAAATATTTTGTTCTAGAAAATATTGTAGTGCTTAGTTATTTTTATGGAAGGAAAAACTTCGTGCGATAGCTCAGTTGAGTAATTGAAATGAAGGCCTGATTTGACAGGCAGATAAGCTCATAGACATATCGGTCACGTGCTTGTACGACGCGTGTGTGGAACGTGCAAGCAAACGCAAAAATCCTTTTGTCTTAGTTTGTAACATGAATTAGTTTTAGTTTCTAACGTCAACTATGTCTGTAGTTCAATTAGTATTTGTCTTTCTTATGCCTGCTATAATACGTTTCCAAAAGCATCTCCAAAATACGTTCGTAAGAAAAAACAATCACAAAAAAATCTCAACGACGTTTTCCTAAGGACAAATCATCACAGGAATTCCTAAGTTCCTATGGGGTATCTTCCAAAAACAAATATTGAAACTCGAATCAAAGCCAGACATCACTCGAATTCCGAAGTCCACAATTGATTTAGAAAGGAGCCGATGACGATAGCGAAAACTGTTACAAACGAAAACGTAAAAAAAGGAAATTTGTCAAAATCAAACGAGATTTTCAATTATACAAAATACAATACAAAGTGGAATAATCAGTACTTGCCGTGGCGTAGTATCGATATCGATACGGCAGTAGGGTGACTATAAAAAGAATCTACAATTATTAAAAAAATATTTTAATGAATAAGTATTGTATTCACTAATTTTCACTTCCTTGTGCCTTGAGTCTTGAATTATTTTTCTTTGATATTTTTAGTAGGAAAACTTTAAATTGTTCATAATTTTTGGCATAACCTTGGTACATTATTCCTATATTATAATAATATGTACACATTACTAAAAAATTGCTACACTTCTTGAACGAAATAAAGAAAGAAATTATGTACACGTTCACAACTAGCCATAATATCAAAAAAAATTGAGATTATAAGATTTGACATTGAACTCATGGACAGTCTACACTGAAAGAGATGGAGATCAAAGGCCACGAAACGTGTGAATCGAGTTAGTGGCGGGGGCCGCCCCCTTCCCCCTACTCCCAAAGATGAATGAAGGGGGGAGCACAAAAGCCCGAACCATCATTAAACACGAGTTCTTCCTGTACTAATGTGACGGACAATACTGAACGGTTCCCCCCTCCCACCTTTCCGATTTCCTTTGGAAAAATCTTTTATCTTTTGAATGTGATTCCAAAATATAATGAGGGCTTCGTTTGAGGCGATCGTTGAAGTTTATTTAGATGTGCTGATCAGTACGTTCGATATATTTAGAATGTAAATTTGAGATGGGGTCATTTCTGATACATTGGTATTGTATAACTGTATCGATTTGAGGAATCTTGTTTGTTAGAGTGTCGTTAACTGTCTGAACGGTTGGTGCGGTGGCTGGCAGCCGTGCAACGTGTCGGGGGTTCAATTCCCGCACGGAACAACAGTTTGTGTGATCCACAATTTGTTGTTTCGGGTCTAGGTGTCATACATTTCATCATATTCATTTACAAACATACTTGTATGTTTGTAAACGCACCCATGACACAGGAGAAAATACTAATGTGGGGCAACGTTTTTTTTTTTAAAAAACTGTCTCGTTTATCAGGTTGTCGATATCACTACACATTGTAGTATCATAACAACACACTTTTTATCCCCAAAGTAGTGGGTAGAGGTGCAAATTACGACACTTAATGTACGATGTAACACCTACTCTTCAATATTTATGTTATGAGTCCCATGTAATAGGAGGTGAGCTTATTGCCATATACCGGGAACAATTCCAGACTCCGTGCTACTACCTGAATTTAAAAAAAAAACCAGTAATACTTTTTCAACCCGGGAATCGAACCCGAGACCCCTTGCCTGGCAGTCGCACTTGTGAACACTCGGCCAGCGAGGCAGTCTAGTATTTAGACTAGATTATAATTTGTGTTACTTTTATGTCACATTTTCTTATGACCGTATTTATTTTTATGTACTTTTTAAGTCATTTATATTTTTTTTCTTCTTTTTCAGATGTGATACAAGTATGGTCAGCGCCGGGCGGTATGACGCGGCTACCGTGCGATCTGGCGGCTCCTGTCAGCGAAGTCGCCTTGATGTTTTGGTTCAAAGAAGGAGACAGAATGCCTATTTACACGTAAGTACCTTAAAATGTTTGTTAGAAAAATACTCTAGACACAAATGGGCTTCTTTGGAGAAGGCCTTCACCTGCAGAAGGGTTTTGCAGACTAAGATATAATAAATAGTGTAATGGCAGTTATAGCATAGCAAGTAAGATACCATAGTTATGCGAACAATTTACTTTTTAATTATTCGTTATAAATACCATTGTCACAATTAGTTTTAAAGTGCTCCCTCCCCGTGAGCATTTACGTGTAATGTAACATTATAGATTCGACTTTGAGCATTACATTACAATAATACCTCCCTGACTAACGAGCATTTGCGTGTAATGTAACATATTGATTCGACTATGTTCAAAGTCATAGCAAGATGTCAGACGAAGCGAGAGAGCTGGGGGAAGTAGAGCGCATTGATGTTACAAGTTGTATCAAGATATTACACATTGTATCATTAAATGGTGCGCATAATAATGCTCGGTTCTTCTCCTTCACTGATGTAATGCTCAAATCTGTAATGTTACATTACGCGCAAATGGGTGGGGGTGCACCTTTATGCAAGAAATATAAGGCTTTTTTATTGACTTACCTTAAACTGTTTAATTTGACAAAGTTTTATATGTTGTACCTAAACTGGAACAACTTTTGTCGCATCAACTTATTGCAAGACGTTTTTAAACATCCTGTGAGTATCCGTCCAATCACACAGCAATGGACCCACGACTTGAAATTTTAGGTTGTAATTTTAACACGAATAAATCTTGCAAACGTCGCGGAGAACTTAACGGGTAACCGGGGCTCCGGCTCGACGTGCAGAAGAAGGAACGGGGTTGTTTTTAATCAGTAAGAGTCTGACACTCCCTCCCGCCTCATCCAGGCGGGAGAAGACATTCGATGATTTTCCTCCCTTAAAAAAAATCTTGCAAACTAATGTTTACGACCTGACTTCTAAAACACTTCTTTTACTCGGAACTATACTGAAATCGATTCATAAATAAACGGAATTCTTCAAAATTTAGTATCAGCAAGTTTCCCTCAAATAGTTTGGACTTCCAATGTTATCAGTTCGGTCAAGTTTGATTCATTAAAATTGGGTATTGAAGTTGTAAAAGAAGTTGCAATGGGTGGAAGTTTTAATGATGTGTCGTATGACGTAACTTGGGGCGGTGCAGCTTGGGAAGGTAAAGTGGAATGTTCTTTTGAAATCTCATTTGCTGTTAGTTCATATTTCTTTGGACTTGATGTAAAGTAGGTTGGCGATTTTAAGATTAAATTAGGGTTTTAATATAAGGAAATATAATGATGATAATCTTGTTTATTTTACTGAAATCATAAGTGATCAGACTACATTTAGTATTTAAAATCTAAACAGGAGCAGCAGAAAAGTAATAAAAATATTTTTTTGATTTTTTTTAAATAATTAGATGCTGCGTTTAAACTGGAATTCTGTACTTCAGCTTTTAGAATGCTGATGAATAAAATCTAAAAGCCATTAAAATATTATCGGAGCTACCTTCAATTCAAAGTAAATCAATCCATACTGAACTATACATAGAATTCACAACATCATACCCAATACGACCAAATATGAAATTCCAATTAATACCAGACTAAATACAGGTAACATATCTTAATTCTAATTACCAACATCCAAATAGCTTCTCTGGAACTGGCCCTCAATTCCGACCATTCAAATGTGGACCATTCTGACTATCTGGTGACATGATCGTATTATGGTATTAGACTCAGTGCTGTACAGCTTGTATCGGGTATTGTAAACGGCTGATTAAGCCATTCAGATGAGAACAATGGGCTTATGAAATAACAGCTTGGAACTGTAAGGATGGTTGTAGATGATTCGTTTTTAGTTCTCATTGATTTGCCAATTTAAATACATTAGGAATCTACACTTTGGAAATAGCTTCACTAGAGGACTGAGCCACTTTTAAAATTTTCTTGACGTTCAAAAATTTCTTGATTGTCTACTTGAAATAAATGATTTTAACTTTGACTTTCAATTGTTTGTTCTTTATTCATAATTTAAATATTATGTATCAGTATCTCTATCAATGCTTTATATCACGGATTTGTTTCCAGTTTCAGTAGAAATATTATATATTTTTTATTTTCAATGACTCATCTCAAATCGTTGTTAAACATGATACTATGATTTGCAAATTCCATATTCTGAGATACTACCAAAAATGTTCACTACAAAATGTCGTGTTTGGCATTCCGTCTTCCTCACTTGAGTCATTTTCTGGATAAATGCTAGTAGTTCACCTATGACCTTTTATCAAAAATCTTTCACCAATGAACTGTCTATTACCATCCTAATACGTGTTGGCGACAAGATCGATTGTGGTGTGATTTGGTGTTGATTAGCTTTCAAATCATTATTGTTGTGATGTACCTTCATGTTGGAAGCAAACAATATTAAATCGCAATATTATGTTGGTAGAAACAGTACATTAATATCAGAGTTCTATTCTTGCAAATAGTTAGCATAAGACTTGGAAGATAAACTAACCTTTATAATATAATTGGTAACAGAAAAATCAACTTCAAATACTGTATAGATATGTTTCTTCATTCAAGAATTTATGGAACTCAAAGCAAGATGCTGAGTAGTCTAATGTGTAATTACATTTACAACGAGTTTCTGTTTAATCACCAGTATAGTAGATATTCTAAAAATCTCCTTAACACAGCAAACAACGTTGAAACATAAGTAAATTCAAAGATAATCCCACACTGATCCTACACACCATAACCCAATGGTGTTTCGTTCCGTTTATTTTCCGTAGCATTTCATTTGTCTAATGGAATAAAGCCCGCACGTTGATTGGAGTTCTCTGCTTATACAGTTTTTGCATGTAGCGTTCCACTGTTAGTTTTGTTGCGAATATGCTTGCGTGAATCTTGTTTTGTTTTACCAAAACAATGCATGTAAAAAGGTTTACTTTTTGCGACGAGTTTTCGTTTTGAGATCTGATTGTATGACTTTTTGAAGATGGGACTTTGAAACCGGTTTTTGTTTTGATTTTAGGTTTTAAATAGGTTTTGTTGTTTCTGCTTTTGCTTGTGCTTGTGTGCTGACTTTAATCAGTTCTTTGCTGTTGTGAAATCGAATTCAATTTGTTGCAATCTGGGAAATTGAATTTTGTGTAAATCACTTGTCGTGTTTAGGTTTCGAATGTACCTGATTTTTTTGCTTTAGTGTTTTTTAAAGCATATTGTTATTTAGATAACTGTTGAATTAACCATAGTAAAAGTAATTTCAAAATATTCATTACAATGACTATAGAAGCAAATACTCGATTTAACTCGTCGAGTACCGGTTTTATAGACACAATTAAAGAACAATAGGTCGTGGTCACCGGTGACCGCTTGGTGTTTGACAGTTTAAATGGCATTGCAAGGAGTTGTAACCTTTCTTTTACCGCTCCACATAGACACTCCTAATAAACTTCACAAGTTTAAGGGTGAAGATCGCCATCATATACCATTATAATCACATTCTAGTTGCTGATCTAAAAAGAAAAGAAAAAAACCTTATCTTTTCCTTAGGAGTCGTAAAATCGAACGTAGGGTAAGTTTTACGAGGAGCAAGGAAGACAGTCTAGGAGGTCGTTATTCTTTAATGTGATCCCCAACGTGGTGGCCAACTGGGACGGCTTGGGATTATGTGACGAAGTCAGGAGTTCATGTTGAAGATAATAGTTTTTAATTTAAATGTTGACTGCCTCGTTGGCCTAGTGATCCCAATCACAAGTGCTAAGGCAAGGGGTTTTAGGTTCGATTTCCGGGTCGGACAAAGTATTACTGGGTTTATAAAAAAAATCAGTAGTAGCACGGAGTCCAGAATTGCGCCCGGTGTATGGCAATAGGCTCACCCCATATCACATGGGACTCGTGACGTAAATAGTAAAAAGTGAGTGTTATATTGTACAGTGGCATGAAGTGCCATAATGTGCACCTATGACTACCCCTTCGGGGATAAAAGACGTGATGTTATGTTATGTAATTTAAATTATAATATGTATAGGTTTTCTATAATTAGTGCGTTAGAGATTAATATAATAGATACGAGATAAATTTAAACTTTTTGTGTTTAAACTCTCATTGGGATCGTATGGACATTAACTGATACAGGACATTAAGACTAGTCTTCAGGCCAATGGACGGTATGAAACGCTTATTTGTAAAGCCCACGAAATTAATATTGGAATATAAAGATTGAATACATTAAGGGATAAAACGCCAGAGTAATCAAGTACTATTTATTATACACAAAAAAACATACATGCGAATTGATACCTCCTTTTTTTAAAAGTCGGTTAAATATCAATACATTTTATCATTCGAAGCTAGATTACAAAACTGAAAAATATCTGAAGCGTTACTCTCAATGTTTCCTTCACTGTATAAGCTACGTTTATTTAATGACTAACTTAACCAATTAATTAATATATCTGGAAAAACCTTTCCATGCACAAAATCTAATTACGAAATATCACAGTTAAAATTATATGAAAAATGAAATCGAGAAATAAAAGCATTTGGCCCGGTAAACTGATTTACGCGCAATGAATATTAATGTCTGCACAATTATCGCTTGTACGCCGTCAGGCAGCCATCAGTCAGACAGATGAAGACAATTATGCTCCCAAATTGCTATTACTTCCTGATATATGAGTGTAAATTTCTTTATTGATATGAAAATTGTCAATGAGATGGATTTTCTGGTCTGTTCTTTTTTTTGTGTTTAGACTAGAGTGAATTATGGCGTGAGTTATCTTGCGTGTGTTGTAAAATTGTAACTGATGTGTGTCAAAACAAAGAAAGCTTTTGTTTTTTATAGAAAATTTAGTAGAAATGAGTTTTTTTAATGCTTTTTATTAGTTACAAAGTCGGTTGTTGGCAAGACGTAAGATTATTTGCGACGCCGGTGTCGGCACGAGGTCTAAATTATCACTGGTTAAGAGTTTCTTCCTTATGGTCACCATAGACGTAA